ATCCTGAAAACCTGGCTCCAGGGGAGTTGCTCAAGGTCATGGGCCTTTGGTAACAAGTCAAATTCTGTACCCAGCACCCCTCCTCCAGCCACTTAGAGACACTGCTTCCCCCAAAATAAGAAAGTTGTTAACAGTTCTCAGTAAGACGGAAGTATGCAAAACCTCTAAACTTTGTTACAGTCAGTACTTTTTTTAAATGGGGAGAAAAAGGTAGCAAGAGATAAAGGAAAGAGTTTACAAGTCTAGATCAGGACCAGCTATGTCAGTAATGGGCCTTTTCTTGGGTCTTTGCTGCCTTTTTAAAAAATTATTTTTTTATTTTATTGAAGTATACTTGATTCTTAACCACTGCACCACCAGGGAAGTCCCTTGTGAAGACTCTTGTGATTGCATTGAGGGCCCACCTGGATAATCCAAGCTAATCACGCCACTCAAGATCCTCAATTTAACACAACTGCAAGACCCTATTAAACCATAGAAGGTAACATTTACAGGTTCCAGGGATTTGGGCCTAATATCTTTGGATGCCATTATTCAGCTACTACAGGACTGCTTGCATGTGTGTTGGTCTTTTCACCTTTGTATAATAAGGGTCTCTCACAGTGTAAGCACATCATGTGTCCTCAATAAATGAAATACACGCAGAGGTATAGTGGTATAGGCTAGGGGTCCACTATCAGTGGTCATTGGTATTCCTGCTTTGCTAAGGCTTTATTTCCCCAGGCCAGAGTTATTTCTTTTATGTGCTAATCTGTGGTTGGAAGGATATTTTACTCATGAATCAGATCAACTTATAGGTTAGAGAAATTAAGTGAAAGGGGCCTTCATACTCTCATCGCTTCTTCTGAGCTACGGTGAGGCAAAGTAACCAAAAAACTCCATTCCTTTCAAGCCGTGGGGTGAGGGGTAGTGGAAAACGTGGAGGGGTCCTGGCAGCTGAATGGCGACTTTCCCAGAATGTGAGAATGCGGCGTAGCTGGCTGACAAGCACGAGCTGCATTAAGAGTTCTGTCATCGATCTACAGGGCTGGTGAGTTGCCATTCCTTGGCCGTTTATTTTAAACACAGTATTCTTCATAAGGTAAGCTCCTAAATTCATGGCTATTACTTAACTGACCATTTCTCCATCTCGAGTCATTTGAGTTCAGTACAGGCATTTTTCTGAAATGAGGCTGTTTCTTTTTCAGTGTTCTTAAAATCATAGCCACCTTCATCATAAGAATAAGTCTGTTCCAGCCACCACGCAGTTAGAAAGACAACTCAGCCGTTACACGATTGTTTTGCTCAGCTGTTGGAAATCTTTTTCAGTGAAAGAGGAAAAAATGACTGCAATAAAGTGAACAAGCAGATTCTTGTGCACAAGTAATCCTTGAAACAGTCAATTGTTTACTGCATTATAATTGTTTGTTTACTTCTATGTTGGTTTTTCATCTTTGTGCTGGTTACAGCCGCCAGGAATCAGAAAGTTAAAAAAACTATAGAGTCCCCAAATATATCCAAGATTTGCCTAGGGTGGTGTGTATCTGGAAACTTCTGAGGCTTGAGAAAATTCTTTCATTAACATACAACATCCATCTGTAATAAAACACAATTGTCAAAATCGATTTAGGTGATGGCGACTGGCATAAAGCTCATCTAACGTAGTCTGGCATCTGCCAGAGGTTTCTTTGATCAGAGAGGACTCCTTGTAGGTTGTCCAACAGGACCTACTTACCTCCTAAAATCATCTAGAAAAACACTTTCCCTCTAGCCCTGCTCTAGTCACCCTTTCATGGCGGTCATACTTCTTGCAGTCAATGAAACTTCAGACATGTATTACTAAACCAAACTTGGATCTGCTTGCCCATGCACCGTAAAGCCAATCTACTGACACTGGGTTGTGGTGAAGGAAAGTGCAGCATTTATTGCAGGGTGCCAAGCAAGGAGTCTGGGTAGCTAGTGCTCAAAAGGCCTGAACTCCCCAGTGACTTTCAGGGAAAGGTTTTTAAAGATGGGGGCATTGGGGTTGTGGGGATGCATGCTAGTGGACATTCTTCTGATTGGTTGGTGGTGAGGTAATCGGGAGTCAACATCATCAACTTCCTGGTTCCAACCAGTCTGGAGTCCATGTGCTTGTGGTGAGCATGAAGTTAATTAACTTCTACCTGGTAGGGATTTCTGTATCTGCAAAGCAGCCCAGAGGATATGGCTCAGAATATTATCTATGTTCCTTGAGAAAGAACTAAAGATCCTTGACTTTGTTTAATGGCTAAACTATTATTATTTTGTCTTGCTTGACTTTTCCTTTCTTTCTGCATTTTCTCACTTCTCTGATTAAATTTACTGGGGGAAGGCCTAGGAGGCTAAAGTTTTTCTACAGACAAGAGGCAGGCGGGGGACCCTGTGGGGGTGGGGTCTGTTCTGAGAAGGCTCCATAGGGTCCTGCTCGTTACACACGCTGCTCCCTCTGCTTAGAATGCTTGTCCCTCCTCCTCTTCTCTCAAGTTCTATTCATCCTTCAGATCTTAGTTCAGTCATTACTCTCTCTGAAAAGCATTCCTAGATTAGGTCATATCCTCTAAGCACTACCCTAGCGCTTGAGACTGTTGACAGTTTGTATTTGTTTATATGATTGTCTGATTAATGTCTGCTTCCTCTGCCAGACTGTACAAAGCTCTGTGAGGACAGGGAATAAGTCAGGGTTTTTGTTGTTGTTGTTGTTACCGTTATATCGCCAGCCTTTATCACTGTTGCTGGAACACAGTGAGCATATCATAAATATTTAAATGTTGAAGGAATATGTCATGGAATCTCACACTAGCTCTGCCACTGGGTTATTAGGCAAGTTATTTAACTTCACAGGGCCTCACTTTCCTCATTAGTAAGAAAATGCCTCTTACATTCCCCAAACTCTAGGATATTTATGGTTCCTGTTTTGAGCCTCCAAGGTTTACTAGGCTAGAAAGCCAGCACTGTTAATTGCCTGCCGTGGAGAAGCCATATGCCAAGCTAGAAATTAGAATTACCCTCGACACCTTTGCCTTTTTCCCTAATGCCACCGCCTTGATTCCAGCTTTCCTCCACTCTCATTTAAAATACTGCAACTGTTCTCTTTACCGGTGGTCCTGTGTTTGGTCCTCTCCTCTTCCAGTCTATCTGCAAAGCTGCCAGCAGAACTGTCCGTAACACTGGACTGATCATGGCGCCCCTCTGCTTAAACACTTTCAGTGACTTCCACACCCCCGGGACAAAACTCACCTCTTGAGGAGATGCCCTTCCACTGCTCCTGCTTCACCTCCTGCCCTCTCCTTGAGAACTCATGCTCCACTCAGAACTCCTCAGGGGGCTGCAACTAGACACCTGTTTCCCATCAATTCTCTCAGCCCAGAAAACTCCCCTCCTCTCTTGCACTTACAAAGTCCCATCTACCTTTTAGACTCAGCTCAAACGTTACTGGAATGTGGCCCCCGCCTTGACCAAACCCTCATTCTCCAGGCAGAGTTTGTCACTCCCTGCCTGTATTCCCACAGAACACTTTGTACAATCCACCATAATAACACTTAGAGAGCTGTCTTTGTTTGCAGAGGGACATTTGGGTTAAGTGCATGGGCCTCAAATTCAGACTGACTGGAGGTTGAAACCAAATTCTGCAACCTAGTTGTGTGGCCTTGGAAATTATTCTGAGTTTTAGTGTCCTAGTTTTGGAAATGGGAGATATATAACACCTAACTCACTGGGCAGTTGGAATTACAGATTAAATGGGATAATGTGTTTAAGGCACTTAGCACAATGCCTGGCCCGTAATGTTCAATAACTAAGGGTAATTGTTGTTGGATTGTGAACATGTCAAATGCAAAGAACCAGGCCTACATTTTGCCCATCTTTGTATCCCAGTGACTGGCCATAGTGGATGCTCAGTGAGTGCTTCTTGAAGTGCCTAAATGGGAAAGTATCCTTTTCTTTTTTTTTTCAGGTAGGCCAGAGGCTTATTCATTTTAGGAATTTTACTGACGTGTCAAAAATTCTCCTAACCTTATGACATACTCCAAATCACATTTATCTTTCCCTTTGCTAAACCAGTCCTTAACTTACACATGCAACATAATGAGATCAAACTTGAGTTTTAAGTATTAGTGTTTTTTGCTAAATTCTCTCTTCATACATTGAGTCCTTACTGCACGCACATCAATTTCAGCCTTTACACATTCCTCGGTGAAACAGATTATATCCTTCTTTCTCATATCGCATGCAAGTGTATAGGACTTACGTGCTCAGCCCTGTTCTATGAGCTTTGCGTGTCTTAAATCCTCTATGAGACTTATAACCTAATTGACTTTTCTAAGATGACAGTGCGTGGTCAAACCGATTAGAACCACCGCAAATTCTAGCCGTGTGTTCTGGCCACAGCATGGCATCGCCCCCAACAAGTCTAAGTCCCTTGACTGCAAGGTTATCTCCTTCCTTCTCCGCCTCGCTGCCTGTATGCAGAGACTGAGTGAGCAAGCCTGACCAGTGCATTTCCTTTTCCGTCTACGTAAGTAACTCCACCAGAGGGGCAGAGGCAGAGTAGGTTCACAATGAATACTTGAGAGACTCTCTGGGAGGTTTGAAGTCTCACAGGGTTTAAACACCTTTAACCTTGGGGAAGCACCCTTTAACCCTCAGCACGTCAAACTTTGCTATTGCGGTTTCTCTTCGGTGTCCCCTGAGGACTCCTTCTAGGGTCCTTGACAAGGACAGAGGAGCTGAACTTAAGGTTGAGAAGCATCTTGGGTCCCCCCGCCCCGCCTTCAATTAACCAAGCGCGGGTCACGCTACGGGCTTCTCCGGGAGGCGTTGGATACCTGACCCCCGGGCGACCCCATCCCGCCCACCGGAAAGCCGGCAGCGTCCAGCGCTCTCCGTGGAGACGCCGCGGAGGCGCAGACGCCTCCCGCCCTCCTTCCAGGAGCCGCCTGGGATGCAGATCCTGGCAGCTGCCACACCGGAAGCGGCCCCGGGCGCGTGCGGGGCGGCAGCCGAGGGTCCCGCACGCGGGGCGGGGCCGCCGGGCAGGTCCCCCGCCTCCCGGGGGCGCGCGAGGGCCGGGCGGTGCCGCCGTCCCTTCCGGGGAGCGGTGGCTGCCGCCGCGTCCGCCGGGCAGCTTCCCACCCCGCCCCCCCGCGGCTCTGGGTGACGCTTCTCCAATAACAGCTCGCGGGGAGCCGTAGCTGGGGGCTCCGCCGGCGCCGGGGACCCTCCGCGCCAGCCCTGCCGCCGGCATGAGGGCCGAGGGCGACGGCGGTCTGGAGCGCTTCTGCAGCCCCGGCAAGGGCCGGGGGCTGCGGGCCCTGCAGCCCTTCCAGGTGGGGGACTTGCTCTTCTCCTGCCCGGCCTACGCCTACGTGCTCACGATCAACGAACGGGGCAACCACTGCGAGTTTTGCTTCGCCAGGTAGGGCGGTGCGGGCCGGCGGCGGCGGCTGCGGGCGGGAGCCTGGGGCGCCGCACGGACGGGCTGGCGGACCGCGGCGGGAGGAAGTGCGTGCGGACCGCGGGGTCCTAGCGCCGGCGGCTCGCGGGGGAGGGGGCGGGCTGCGCCCTTGAACCCCGGACCGGCTGTGCCACGTGCGTTAGGAAAGACCAGCCAAGTTCTCGCCACACGTCCTGCACGGCATGTTTTCCGAGTCGCTCCCGCGGGATGTGCAAACTGGCGAGGTGCAGGGTCCTGCCTTCACATGTGGGCTTGGAGCCAGGCTTCCTCCCAGCGCTGGCACGCACTGCCCACTCGGTGCGTTGCCAGCGGGGCCCCAGGTTCGCGCAGCCACAGCCTGTCACCTTTAACTTGTGCTTCCTGCGATGTGTTCTGTGCCCCACAGTCTCTTCTGCCGCAGACTTGCCGTGTTTCCTCCAAGGAACTTAATGACACTTAATATTTCATGTAAAGTACATGGCCCCTCTTCTTTCTTGTCACCCTCTGCACTTGGTATTCGGAGAGAAGCCAGAGGAGTACTGACCACACACCCGTGGTTCAGAGGGGCTGCACTGGTGGGACGTATCTAGCCCTGGTTTGGGACTGGGAAAACATGGCTGCTGGGGGGATGAGGCAGAACGTATGGCTGGAATGGGTATTTAATTGTAGCATGTCATGTATGTGTGTATATGTGTATATCTTCACATACACCAACACATAATTATATCTTCAAGCCTTATGATAGTTTCAGACCTGAAAGTCGTGTTAGAAATCATGAATGCAACACTCTTTCCATTTTACAGGGGAGAAAACTAATGCCGAGAGAGGAAGTGTCACTGTGTATGTCTAGTCACACCCATAGTTAAGAAAATGAAGTCTGGTGTCTTCAGTTCTGCCCATTTCCTACCTAGTTAAGTGCTCAATAAAATTACTGAGGCAGGAAGCATGGCATTGGAGTTAAGTTTGTACAGGGCCTTCTAGGACCCTGCTTTACTTTCTTTGAACCTCAGTTTCTTCATCTTTGAAGTGGAGATTCCTGGGCTAGATTAAGCCCACCTGAGGTCCTGCGGGTACCTTTGGAATACAGGTCTCAAGTCCAACACACGCTGAAGTACTCAATCTCCGAGACGTGTTCCTCTCATTCCACGGTAAGACAGAGCAAAAGAAGGGACAAAAGCTAAATACTATAGTAGTCTTGTCCAGACTCCCTGCCAGAGCTGTCTTCCGCTTGGGGGGACCTGGAAAGGAACTAGACACAGAATCATGCCGTGGGCAGCTTAAGGGCTGTATGTGATGTGGCTCTTTGAATTGGTGAGCCAAGAGCTAAAGGGTCATGGCACCACTTTGCGACGTTTGAGTGAAGTGAGCATTGGGTTTTCCCAAAGTTAAAAAGGCTGCTGTGTCTGGTCCCTTGATCTTCTGAGCCTTGCTGTGGCTCAGAGTCTGAAGCAGTGTGGGTGTCTGGAGTGGCAGGAGCAAAGCAAGGTCACCCAGCACAGAAGGGGCCTCCCTCCATCAGGGATCCTGGTGATTCCTGGGGTCCAGCGTGGGAGAGAAGACTGCGGTACCAGACGCATAGTAGGTGCTCAGATGGTAGTTGCCTGACCACTCCTCCAGTGAATTAAAGATCAAATCCAGCTGGGTTCTCAGTGGAGAAGCAGAGCTGAGAGATTCTTCTCTTTTGCTGTGAGCCTCCACACTCTATCTACTACACTCACCCCCGACCTTAGAACAGGAAGGTACAGTCAAGGTGCAACTTGGCAAATCACCTTGCCATATGGGACAGTGTTTGCCTTTGTTTTCCCTTTTTCTGAATGACATTCATCAGTGTCACTGTTGCCTTAGATCCCTCACCAGGGCTACCCCCTCCCTGCATTGGGGTGGGACTGCTGCACCTCCCCCAGCTTTTCTCTGGCTTAGGTGAACTTCTGTCAATATCCACAGCTCCTTTCCTCTTTCCCCAAGGACTCATTTGAAATCAACTAAAATAACACACAAGAAATGATGACATCATGATACCTGTGAAATTAGAGATATATTTGTACTCCACTCTGGTTTCCATTAAATGCGATTAGTTTGGAATTAGTGGCTAGATCATTCTCATAGATTTAACACCATTTCCTCTGTCAACTGTCTGTATAGACCGAGGACAAATTGTTCTGTCCAACTGTACTAGAGGAAAGCATATATGTCCCCACGATTCCGCCAGGGGGTAGGAGCAGAATTCTCAAATACTGAAGCATACAGGGCAAAATCCACGACTTCCCCTCCCCTCCCATAAAAAGAAAACTACACCTTATCGTTTCTTGTACCAGAAGTTGAAGGTAAATAACGTTGCTTAAGACAAATGAGCCACTACAGATCTTCCCTATCATATTAATTGTATCAGGGTTTGACTTATTTTGAAGGAAAATAAGTGATTTTTTTCAGGAATAACTATGTTCTATAAGTTGAAAAATAATGGGAATTCTCTTAAGTCACAGTGGAGTGGGATTCTTACTGTCAGGGCAGTGCAGACAAAAGTTTGTATTTGTGTCACATTTACTCAGGGTGACACTTGGGAAGATGTGTATCTTGCCTCAGCTGCTAGAAGGCAGCCCCTAAAAATATAAATGTCTTCCAGTTGGGAGCTGTCCTCATCAGACCTCTCAGATGCGTTTTATGT